TTTTTTTTTTTTTTTTTAAATAAAGGTGTTCAGGTGACCGGCAGTAGACATAATGGCTATGTTGCTAGACTCCCATGTTGTCCACTGTAGTTGAGTCCCGGACCTGGTGGCTTAAACTCACGCCAGGTGCATGTGCATGTGTATGTGTGCCCAAGATCCCAAGAGGAGAATGAAGAAGGGATTGCAGCATGGCCATCCCTTCTGGGGGCTGATTTCTTGCTTTCTCTCTCTCTGTCTTTCTGGTGTGTGTATACACACCCTATAGCAAAAACTTCTAGGGGAAAAAAAAAAGATGATCAGTTAAAACTTTAACTATGCCAATTGTGGAAAATATCAAGACAAGTTAATCAAGAAAACAATTAACACATCAAGGAAATGATTAACATACTCTGTATACAAGGAAAAAATATAATTTCTCACATAGCTATGAGACAACAGCAACAATTTTATAATGTAAAAAAGAAATGGATAGCAATCCCTTCAAAAATATCTTGAGGCCAGGAATTGGTGTGGTAGTTAGGAGTGTTGGACTCCCACATGGCCGACTGTGGTTTGAGTCTTGGACCTGGCGGTTTCTTTCTCACTTTCTCTCTCTCACTCTGTCCCTCTCTGGTCAAATTAAAGTAAGTAAGCAAATAAATAAAGTTAAATCAAATAATTCTTAAAAAAACTTCAGTACTTTTATTAGCATTAAAAGTTCTTGGGAACCAGCAGTTAGCGTAATGGCTATGTTGCTGGACTCCCACGTAGTTGACCGTGGTTTGCATCCCGGACCCGGTGGCTTAAAACTCACGCCGGGCGCGTGTGCGTGCGTGCCCAAGATCCCGAGAAGAGAATGGAGGAGAAGGGATTGCAGCGTGACCATTCCCCCTGGGGGGTGATTTCTCGCTTTCTGTCTCTAATGTCTCTGTCTGTCTGGCGAGCGCACGCGCCCTATAGTGAAAATCTCTCCAAAAAAAAAAAAAAAGTTCTACAAAATCATAGAAACTAAGCTTGATTTAGGAAGGTTGTTTTCCTCAACTATCCCTAGATAAGAATGTGTTTTTTAAGAGTATTATTTAATTTTACTTATCATTACTATTATTATTATTATTTTAACTAGAGAGAGCAAGTTATGTGGAATTTGACCATGCTGTCAGCCCAATGAATGATGGTTCTTACATTTCAAGAGCATTAATAGAAAACATCAAATGTACAACTAATGATGGTAAATGTCACAGTCTGGTATTGTAGTAAACTCAAACTGTATTTAAAGCAGGAACATTTACATTATTCCAAAACTATCCTGGATGAGGCTTGTTAAATTTGTCAGTATTTTTATTATTCACTATAAATTGACATCTGATTCACTGCTTTAAAAAAATTGTAGTAGTCAGTAAAAAAATTAAAAGACCTGGTAACAACAAATTGGATATATTTTGTGCCGACCAGAGTTCTAAAACCCCAAAAATATGAAATACAAATATTCTTTTAAATCGCACGACTAGAATAATCATTTTTTTCAAGTCTTCTTGTAAACTTCCTTTGTAAAGGATATTCTGTTTCAGGCCTACATCGCTCTTATACATAATAAATTACAACAACAAAACCTGGAACAAAATGAAACGGAAATCTTGAGTAAGCATGTAATTTAAAAAAAAAATAATTATTTCACTTTATTTATTTTAATTTGACCAGAGAGGGAGAAAGAAAAAGAGAAAGAGAGGGAAAGTGAGAAAGCAAGCCGCCAGGTCCAGGACTCCAACCACAGTCAACTATGAGGGAGTACAACGTCCGGGAGTCCTGCGTCCTTAACAATCACGCCACCTGTCAGCCCCTCGTAAGCATGTAATTTACAGGTTGAATACACAAATATACACACCTCCTCACTATCAATATGTATCCATGTAATTTAATATTGCATTTAAGGACAGAAGCCCTAGCTCAGAGTAATAAAGGAAATAAAGGAACTAGAGAATAAACAGAAAAGATGTCAAGAAAGAAGCTGAGGAAAGAACCCAAAGGACCAGCGATCATACCGTGGAAGAACAGAAAGCAAAGGTGAACGCTTTTAAAAACGGGGGGGGGGGGCGGGGGGGCGGGAGGGGGGGTGGGGGG